CGCGCGCTGTCGCATGAGGTGGTGTTCGTGTGATTCTTAGGAGTTTTTGACTACGTAGGAGCATTCGAGATTAGTTAGGCTTGACACTGTTTGCAGTTTTGGTTCCCACCATGGCCTCAAACAAGCAAACTGCGGAGGTCTCGTTCGTGAACAAGTATCCCACTCTGGTGGATTGGGCCGCTGGTGGTACGGCTGCTGGTATTTCTAAGACCCTTGTTGCCCCCATAGAGCGCGTAAAGATGCTTCTCCAGACTCAGGACTCCAATCCCGACATCCAGTCGGGTAAGGTTGCTCGCTACACCGGTATTGGCAACTGCTTCAGTCGAGTTGCCAGCGAGCAAGGCTTCTGGACGCTCTGGCGCGGTAACATGGCCAACGTTATCCGTTACTTCCCCACACAAGCCTTCAACTTCGCCTTCAAGGATACCTTCAAGCGGATGTTCCCCAAGTACGACCCCAAGACGGAGTTTTGGCCATTCTTTGCTACCAACCTCGCTTCCGGTGGCATGGCTGGTGCGGCCTCGTTGTGCATCGTTTACCCCCTGGATTTTGCTCGTACTCGTCTCGCTGCTGACGTGGGTAAGGGCGCCGATAGAGAGTTCACCGGCCTCTGGAACTGCCTCTCGAAGACTGCTACCCGCACTGGCTTCGGTTCGCTCTATCAAGGGTTCGGTGTGTCGGTACAGGGGATCATCGTCTACCGTGGTGCCTACTTCGGGTTATACGACTCCGCTAAGGGAGCCCTGTTCGAAGACGAGAAGAAGGCAAGCATAGTATTCAAGTGGATGGTTGCCCAGACAGTCACCGCGGCCTCTGGTGTCGTCTCCTATCCCTTTGACACAGTCCGTAGACGAATGATGATGATGGCTGGTCGTAAGGGCGGTGATGCTATTCAGTACACCGGCACCCTCGACTGCTGGAGCAAGGTCTACCAACAGGAGGGGTTGAATGGCTTCTTCAAGGGCGCTTTCTCTAACGTGCTCCGTGGTGCTGGTGCCGCACTAGTACTCGTGATGTACGACGAAGTCAAGAAGGTTATTTATGCTTAAGTGTGTATTTCTGTCGGTCCGTCGCCGCGAAGTCGCCAATCGAAGGTGTAATCAACACTGAAGATGCTTCGGGGTGGTGGTAACGTGAATGTGAGTGAAATGCCCTCTGTTGTGTTCCTAGTAGAGCTCACCTCGATCGATCGGAGTGCACTCCTACGGTGGTCTACCGTCGGTAGGATTTCCGCCGTACTCAGCCATCCGCGATCTACATTGTAGATTATACAATCTCAGTGAGATTGTTGCACTATCAGATTATCTCACCTTCGTCCGGATATACATGTAGAACGACCGCGGGTGGACATAGGCTTATGATTGTTCCTCTAAGTAAACTGAATTAATTACTCGAATGGTGGATCGATTCGTATGGTTCAGATCTAAAATGAGCTTTTCATTTTTGTATTACGATGACATGAAACTGCTTACACCGCAAAAGAAACGTCGGAAAAGCGGCATTTGCATCCCTCTCGTCGATTATATTCGTAATCCATCAGAGAAAAATTGGTACGGTCTTTTGACCGAGTAAGGCCCTACTTGTAGATGGTAACATATTCAATGAGGAAAATGGCGTAGTCTAGCGGTTCACCTACGAGGCGACCGTTAAAAATATCTTGCGTCGAAAGAAGGTTCCAGGAAGGTTCCGAGGAATCGTCCAGGAACCTATAATGTCCCCGGGAGGGGAACTCTTTTCGAATTATTTACATGGCTAGGAACACATTCTTCGATCAGTTTCCCATGTGAACGTCCTGACATTAGGAACATTTTTAACACTGCTACTAGACTATAGGTAACGCTATTTCCTGAAATTAAATGGATCCCTGTACCTCTTCCAACCCCGGCATCTATGAAATTACTTTCCCCTGTTTATTGGAATCTTACACAGTATAACTTCGAACCCCAACCACACTGAAAACAACTCAGCGAGAAGTATGAAATGTTGTCACGTTTCAACATCTGCGCAGGGCGGTAAGCTCATATATGAACGACACCCTATAATTATCTTCGAAAAGAAGAGCTAATGAATAATTGACACCCATCATTTGGAAAAATGGACTAACCGTAAATAATCTTTTTCACTTCATCATACAGCACAAGTACCAGTGCGGCACCAGCACCGCGGAGCACGTTGGAGAAAGCGCCCTTGAAGAAGCCATTCACACCCTCCTGTTGGTAGACCTTACTCCAGCAGTCGAGGGTGCCGGTGTACTGAATAGCATCACCGCCCTTACGACCAGCCATCATCATCATTCGTCTACGGACTGTGTCAAAGGGATAGGAGATGACACCAGAGGCCGCGGTGACAGTCTGGGCAACTATGAACTTGAGGATGATATTAGCATTCTTCTCATCAGCAAAAATGACGCTTTTCACTGAGTCGTACAACCCGAAGTAGGCACCACGGTAGACGATGATCCCCTGTACCGACACACCGAATCCTTGATAGAGCGAACCAAAGCCAGTGCGGGTAGCAGTTCTCGAGAGGCAGTTCCAGAGGCCGGTGAACTCTCTATCGGCGCCCTTACCCACGTCAGCGGCGAGACGAGTACGAGCGAAGTCCAGGGGGTAAACGATGCACAAAGAGGCCGCACCAGCCATGCCACCCGAAGCGACATTAGCTGCGAAGAAGGACCAAAACTCCGTCTTGGGGTCGTACTTGGGGAACATCCGCTTGAAGGTATCCTTAAAGGCGAAGTTGAAGGCTTGTGTGGGGAAGTAACGGATAACGTTGGCCATGTTACCGCGCCAGAGCGTCCAGAAGCCCTGCTCGCTGGCAACTCGGCTGAAGCAGTTGGCAATACCGGTGTAGCGAGCAACCTTACCCGACTGAATGTCGGGATTGGAGTCCTGAGTCTGGAGAAGCATCTTTACACGCTCTATGGGGGCAACAAGGGTCTTAGAAATACCAGCAGCCGTACCACCAGCGGCCCAATCCACCAGAATGGGATACTTGTTCACGAACGAGACCTCCGCAGTTTGCTTTGATTCGGCAGGCATGTAGAAAAAATACTATGCTGTTGGGAACGTTGATGAAACGCTCGAGAGCGTCGCCGCCAACGAAAGCCAGTTCAGCGACTTCGGAGCATGACCTTTATCAATAGCAATTCCTGAATCCTATGAACTGATGTGTGGCCGAGCCTCCTAACCACAATGACAGTACCGTGAGCACCAACTTGCTCGAGTGCTGGGATGTTTAGCTCCTACATTAATGGCGACCGCCAACCGTTGCGCTTGCGTGCAAGTCACTTAGTGTCGGCGTACGCTCCCCACAACTCAGGAGGGCATCTTGAAGCTCCACAAAGGTACGCTTGGCATACTTTGGTTTACTCCAAAATATCTGTCGACCTCGAATTCGAGAATAGAATGTTCTGGCGGCAAGTAGCGGAAATTATACTTTTCTAGGGAGTCTGAGGAGCATGGTGGACTTCGTGTAGTCGGGGTAAGCACATCCAAGGTAGATACGAAGTCACGAGAGATGCATCACACAATCGGCCGTTTCCAAATGCCGCTCTTTGAAAAACCGTTGGTTATTCGTGTTGAAATGCACTGTTTCCATAGACACCCGGGACAGCCAACATATCGCTTTATGGAACGTTGAGGGGCCAGATTGCGGTCTATATTCCTTCTCGGAGTTATCATTACAAACCAGGTTGGCCCTGTGGCGCAACGGTAGCGCATCTGACTCCAGATCAGAAGGTAGTCCGTTCGAATCGGGCCGGGGTCACATCTCTAACTTTATGACCAGCGGGTGTACATAAAGGGGTACCTATATGAAGAAGCTCTTCACCTTCGAGTGACCACTCGAGCATGGGTAACACCCATAACAACCGGGATTGTGGAGGATCTCCCGTCGAACCCTCAAAATAATTAATTATAAGCTTAGCCCTTATTCACCAACTTGACTGTTGGTATTGGATTCACCTCACGGTATGATTCTCACCTGTATTCAGTTTTACCTCGGACCATTCAAAATATCGACGGGCGATGCTCAAAATTCGAAACTTTGCAGCCCTCATTTGAACTCCAGATCTAACTTGATTTGCCTTCACACGAACGTGGTTTCCTAGCTTTTGTGGACAGCCGACCACACATGAAGTGGATTTATGAACAAGGTTAGCTTCAGGGATGCTCAGCCTAGGAACTAATACACTCACTAAGTCTGTACCGCGCGATTGAGATCTCAAATATACAGTGATAGCAGCGCACTCAGGAACAAAACTCACAATGCCGATGGGTGGAATATCTGCTTCGTCAAGAGCTGCTGTAAATACCATCAATAATGGTACAAAACAAAGCATCACGATCGCCGAGTTCCACGCAGTTGTCGATGCTGCCTTTCCTCACGCTTCTCGTAGGCTTGCCTCTGCATGTGCCGTATCATGCTCACGAAACCATTGGTTCGCTGTGGAGTCAGCGAGTGACCCAAACCATAGTGCTCGACGAGTTCTTCGCCATCAACCGACAGGATTTCCTGAAAGAAACAATGAGAGAGTGACTTTCTCCTTCAGCTACTCCACCTCTGGTGTTTTCCCGTTGAACTTTGACGTCAGCAGTTTTGCCAGGCCACGTGTTAAGGGCGAATCTTTGGCCAACACACTGTAATGAAGATGCTGTTGAGGTTGATATGAAGCTTCCTCGTGGTCGTCTGGTCTTTCTTGCATCCAATTACATGCTACATAAACTCTACTCACACAGCCAGGAACACGGTCGTCTTCAGTGTAATGGTAATTACTATTATCATCGTTCTCACGACCCAACCATAGCAATTGGCGGTAAAGTTGAGCGGACGATGATGCCACCGACAGTGGAGCTTGAGGATACCGGAGATTTTTCCTCACATACGAACAAACGTTTATTATAGCGACGAGGAACATCATTAACAATGGCAGCGGAAGCCTCGACCGTCGTCGCCTTGGACTCGCTTCGCATGTTCTAGTCAAATCTTCGGCATCGGCTCTTCTGGACGAACGTAACGCAGGCATACATTACTACTGTTAATCTCAAGCAACTATCATCATAAACTGAGCCCATTCCTATGGACTGACGACTAAATTTATAATGGTCAACGAAAGTGAAATATCAGTAATCTTGAAATCTTGGATTTCCCTAACGCTACTGCGCAATTCACTGGGCCTGTTTCACAAGGATACTTAATTTAAGGCGCCTTAAAGTTAGGAGCAACTTAAGGAGTTACTTAAGGTATACTTAAGGCGTTACTTAAGTTTAAGGCGCAATTTGCTCCTATGAAATAGGCCCACTTTTGGTAGATTTCACGACTGTATTCAGTAGAGTTTCACCCGTTTTACGCGAAGTGGCGTAATACTTTGTGAAAAACCCGATATTCATGCTTTGCAGAGTAGTCGTGGAATATATTTCTTCACTAGTGTTTTTCATATCACTAGGGTGGAATTCCTCTGCATTTCAGAGTTCTGATTCTACTATCACGATCTGTATACACTTCTCTTTTTTCCCAGCACCAAATTGATCATTGCAGTTATTCGTTAACGCTATCTTCGACCGTCCGTCTAGAACCCCTCTCGAAATTCGATAGCATCGACGATGATGAAAAGCGATGAAGTTGATGGACCTCAAACGTATCAGCTATCCGCAGTTACTCTAAACTAGTCGTTCATCAGATCCTCGAATCAAGTATCACATTTCATGCTGATGCTACGGCAACGACCACCACTGGTGATTACGATTAAGTATTGGTGCGGTAGGCTGGTTGATAATACAATTTTCTCGTAAGTTCGAGCTCAAGGTCAACTTTTTTTGTCAATTTTTCTATCAGAATTGTCACTTCAATCTTCACCATATATGCATTGTTTGGTGACGACATACGAGTAAGCTCCACATCACATACTGCTGATCCTACCTTCGACGTCCTCACCAGCATATCGTTATTCATTTTCACTGTCGAGGTAAGTATTTCCTTTTCTCTTCTTATTGTATCCATTTTTTCGCTATCGTTCGCTCAGGTCCTAGCAGCATCTATTGGTAAAGACGATTACCTATGGTCATTTTTCTTTTTCTTGGACGTACTTTCAACGGCATCCCTTATATTGGACCTAACCTTCGTAGCAGAAGCTCTCTTCAGTGGTGGTGACAGTAGCACTGGCGAAGCTAGAGTAGCTAGGGCCGGTAGAGCTAGTCGAGCAGGGACGAAGGCTGGAAGGGTCGTTAGGATCATACGTTTGATACGTTTGTTGAGGATCATCAAGTTGTACAAGGCCGCACTTGGGAGGAAAAACAAGCAGGAGAAGCTCAGGAGAGCCTCGGTTTTGTCGTTGGAATCAGCTGATAGTAGTGGAGTTAAATCTGACGAAAGGAGAAGGAGTTCTGATGGGGACGTTTTATCGGTGGAGGAAAATGAGGGTAGCGACGATCAAAGTAGAGTTGGAAAGAAGTTGTCGGAGTTGACCACGAGAAAGGTAAGTTTATGCAACTTTTACGTTATCAAATAGATTTTCTGTCAAGGTCATATTGCTGGTCTTGGCGATGTTGTTTTTGATACCACAATTTGAGGTTACTGGTCATTTCCAGGAGATGGAAAGCAGTCCGCAGTAAGGCTTATAGCGGACCTAATCCGTATCTTACTCGGTCAACCTCAAGATACGCCATTGATAGTATCCATCGTACTTGGAGTCAGTACGTTGATGCTTGTGCTGAAGTAGCGGCGGGTGTAACGAACGATACCAAAACTAGAGATATTCTGAGGTAGATATAACGGGGAAAAATTATTGTCAAACTTTTACGATTTTTTCAGGGAGGGGTATGAGAGAGAAATTATCCGATTTTTGTATTTTCATAATCCCCACAGCGCCGAGGAGGCGTGTCCGAAAGGCGACTACTGTATTGGTCACGAGTAGGTTGAATCGGTAATCATGATTAGTGTTTAGTGATGATGAAGGTACCGTCAGTTTTACTACTGGCTGGGCTATGAACATACGGGAGGCTTGGAAGATCCTTGTTTGAAGTGGTGGTTGTGAATAGTGATGTTTATGTGATTCCCTGTGTGCTCTCAGCCGACCGCAGCTGACCATGTTGGGCGTTGAAGGGAATTCGACGAGTGGTGTTGTTGGTGTGATTGATCCTAGTGATGGTATGGACGATTTTATTCTAAGTGAGTAGTTCGGAATTGAAAATTGGTGGTGTTGTGGTATTAGATACCGGAAATATTCCGACATATACGTACGATAAACTGATTTCGAGTTGGAATTATCGATGTGGAAATAGCAGTGGTATATTGCTCGATTTCGAAGATGATGATGAGAAGCATTGTCCCGACATCTACTTGAGGTTTACGGAAAGAGTGCGGTATGTGCCTCTTATAAGAGTTGATGCTAATGAGGAAAAAGAGAATACGACACAATTCAATTTTGAGATAGTCATGGACCAAAGGTCTTATACGAAGGCTTCGGCGATATTGAGTATTATACAAACAATTTTCGTATGTTTTTTACTAGGTAGGAATTGGAAAACTGCTATGGGGAATTTGTATTGTTTTTGTTTTATGGTAGGCGGCGGAGCGATGCTTTTTTCGAAGGACGCGAATGATTTGGTGTTGCGGCCGATCGAGAGAATGGCGAGTAAAATGGACAAGCTGAGATTGTGAGAGAATCAGGGAGTGTGAAGTGGCGAGGGTGTGGTATGGTGATCAGGAATCCTCTGTATGCGACGAAATTGGAAGATGATGAACATAAAAAAGAAGAGGCGGAAAAGGAGAAACTGCGAGATGAGGTAGCTAAGGCGAAGAATCCAGTGGCACGCTGGAGGGTTCGGAGGAAAATGATGCAATTATCACAAAAAGGAGGAGGCAGGTAATGATGGAGAAATGTCCTATCCGGGGATCGAACCGGGGACCTATGCAAAATTCGTTGATGGAGTCCATGGACGTGGACTCAGTGTGCTCCGCCTCTTCGTCGCGAGGGCCTAGTAGTAGTGGTAGTAGTATTAGTATTAGTAGTAGTAGTAGTAGTAGTGGTAGTAATAGTAGTAGTAGTAGTAGTAGAAGTAGAAGTAGTGATATGAAAAACACTACTGAAAAACCTATTTCGCAACTCACTGCATATCACCGCGAATATCTGGTTTTTTCACAGAGTATTTCAAAACCACTTCACGTTAAACGCGTTAAACTGCGATGTTCTCACTTCAGAGGGGAGCCCTTGGAAACGGTCGTTTTGGAGAAGACTATCATCAAAATCGGGGGCTTGTTGGCCGTGGGATTCGGCGAGGCTGGAACTGAGATCATCGGGCATAACATCCGAGGTAATTTTCTATACAGTGCGGGAATATATGCAATTCGTGGTTAACTACAAAAATGAGGAAATTTTGTGGAAAATTTTGGAGATTATCGTGGATTCTTGTGCACTATTTTCCAAAATCGTGTGTAAATTTTTATGATTTAGTGAGAAAAAGCACGAGCTCAGTTGTGGAAATCAAACACATATTTTTACACTCTTACTATGATAATCTTTCGAGAGGGATAATTATCGTCATCATAGAGGTGGACATGTGTACTCGCGCAAATGTTTGGAAAATTTTGAGCATGGCAGTTGATAGTAAGCGTACTGTGCTGTTGTTGTTCATGCGTGCTCTTGGAGCGCATGAGTGTTATGGTATTGAGATTGAGTAGTATGATCTTCTTACTGAATATTTGACTTTTTCCGACTGTTTGTATCAGGGGGTTCGGCTGCGGTTGATCCGATGGTCGCGGGTTCCCGGGTGGAGGCGATAATTGGTTTCTGCGATATACGCCAGTTCAATATTGCTACGGAAGTGCTGCAGGATAAGATTATGATATTCGTCAACCAGGTAGTGGGGGAATTTATGGTAATTTCGGCAGAAAAAATAAATTTTTGAGGCGGAAAATTGAAATGATTGGTTATCGAATTGCATCTTCAACTAGTCTTAACTTCGAATGTTTCTCAGAAGGCATTGTAATGGAGTCTTTAGTAGAGCGCGTTAGCAGGCATGATTTACTGTTCGAAAAGTCATGGCATTTTTGTGCTATACCTTTTCACTTTCAAATTCAGCAAGTGCGAGAACAAATTAGAAAAATGAAATTTGAATTTAGTAGGATGAAAAATTTTTCACGGAATGCGAGTTCCAATTCGGAATGAAAGTTGGATTTTTGGTATGTTGAGTGTTGTTGGATAATTTCGCTTATTGTCTTAGTACATACAGACTTGATCAGCCCTGATTCTAACTTATACTTCACAGTTACAATGCTAGCACTTGGCTAGATATCTTAGCAAAAACACGAATGGGGACGACTTGATAGGGACAACAATCACACAAGAATGTTCACATTCGTAGACCGTTCGAAAATGAGCTTTCGTTGATCGAAATTGGCCTTTTGTACGATCGAATTTGAAGTTTTTTCCGAATTCATAAGTTTCATTCACGAATTTGAACTCTCATTTCGAGCGATGCACGAAAATCGAACTTTCATTCTGTGAAAAACTATCAAAATCGTAAATTTCGTTTCTATAGTTTGTTCTTCCACGTGCTGTATTTGATATTGAAAAAGTGCAGCGTATGCTACGACTGATGATAGCTGTAGATAAAACAGGAGTAGAACTGTGAGGACTGTTGTGATCATCAGATTGGTGAGATCGTACACGGTATTGTCGATGAATATCACGGAAGTGCTAATAGGAATCTTGGGGAAGCATTTTTAATGATATGGCGTTTACCTTGTGCTGAATCGGAAGAGGAAAATGCGAAAGTGAAAAAAAAGAGGGAAAAATTAGCGGATATGGCGGTTATGTCGTTTGTGAAAATATTGGTTGCTATAAATAAATCACCAGTGCTTGCTGAGTACCGTCATCATCCAGGCTTATCAGAAAGAGTAGAAGGTGAATATAGGGTGACCATGGGATTTGGAATGCACGTTGGATGGGCAATCGAAGGCGCGATTGGGTCGGAGTTCAAAATTGATGCAAGTTACTTGTCGCCAAATGTGAACACAGCGAGTCGATTGGCTGCAGCGACTAAACAGTACAGGACGAACATATTGTGTTCGGAAGCGCTAATGAAGGGAATGTGTTCGGAAGGAATGGAAAAGTACAGTAGAGTGATTGATAATGTTACAGTGAAAGGCTCGGAGGTTCCGGTGAGGTTACATACTATTGATGTTGATTATAAGGCATTGGAAGTGGCTGATGCGGAGTCGTGGGATATGCGGCGTAGAAGTGTTGGATCCCGATCGAATAGTATTGAGAGAAATACTGTCTTTGGGAGCTCTTTTTTTCTGAGTAGAAACGGTACGTTTGTGGATCACAACGGACGGTTTTTAGACGTTTTGAAGAAAAAGACGAAAAGGAGTACGATGCGACGACGGGGGAGTCTGTCTGATAGGCTGATTAATAAGTCGAAACTGAGAAGAATGAGAGAAAAGGTGAAAGCGAGGAAATGGCAAGATAAATATGTTATCGCTGATGCTTGGGTAAAAGATGAAGATCTTGTTTCGGTGCGGAAAATTTTCACTGAAGAGTTCTTGAGGAAATTTGGCGAGGCATATAAAAATTACGAGAGTGGGAAGTGGGAAAGTACAGCCGAGATTCTGAGCGAAATTAAGGACACGTTGGGGTATGAGGACGGTCCGAGTGCGGTGCTATTGGAGTTCATAAAATCATACGGATGTATACCACCGAAGGACTGGAAGGGCTATCGTGCTCTTACTCAGAAGTAGTGTTATTCATGATCATCGCTATGACTGTTGTTGATGAGAGGTTGTTGTTGAGTTGACAGTTAGGGAAGTAGTTTGTGGGGAAAAGCACGACTTGAACTTTGGAGGCTGGTCTAGTCATAACCCTCAAGGGTGAGCCCAAAGATTCATTTCATATCGATAGTTGTTGAGCGCGTGGTAAATCGTAACAACTCGATGGATCAATAGTTTGAAATTTAGTTGCCGAACGATAATGCAACAGATAAGTTGAATGTAACAAAAACTATCTGGGGCCTATTTCACGAGCTCTCATAAGGAGCAAAAATTGTAAGGTACCTTACGGTTTCATGGCAAGTCGCTTTCACATCCTCACGATTTGTGGGGTTGGCGTAAGGTAAGGTGGCATAAGGCTCCTCACCGTAAGGCTCCTTACCCTAAAAGGTGCAAGGAGGGCCTCCTCATGTAAGGCGATTTCATAGGAGGCATTTTTGGCCCCCTCCTTGCGATCCTTACGTAAGGTGCCGTAAGACTGCTCGGGGAGTACTTTACGCACCTTATCGCACCCTCCTTACCATTTTATGCGAGCTTCGCTCCGCTTATTCCCGATAGCCCGCACGTCTCACCCGCGGATGATCTATCCCTGAACCGTGCATTTTTACGGCATATTCGACTTGGCGTATAACGAATATCGACAACGGCCGATTGTTCACAAATAAGCTAATGATAGTGTTGTTGAGTTTGTGGTAAAAATAACCATACCCTCATTTTCGGATTCTGACCTGGATATCTTCGTACCTTTATTAGAAGAGTGGGCAGAGACCTTATTCACGAAGGTAAACAACACCATTACTGTATCGTACAAGGGGCAATATCACAGTGTTCATTCAAGCTTTCCACGTTCACAGTAGTAGTAGTTGTACGGGTTAGGGCAAATGGCTTACAGTAGCTCTTTCGAGAGAGCTCTGTTGAAGCACTGTGTCGATTTTGATATGCGCGTCGGTATGGGTTTAGATGCTCCTCATGCTCCTTATTGGGGACCACGAGGTGCACCTTAAATTTAGGAGCATAAGGAGCATGAGGTGGAGCTGTAGTGAAAGCGCCTCGCGTAAGGTGTAAGGCTCCTTTCTCCTTGCTCCTAAATTCAAGGTGCACCTTAAGGAGCGTTTCTTGTGAAATAGGCCCCTGAATCCTAGCGAGGGAGGAGAATGATCAGCTACCAAGATTACATCGAACGCTTAATGAAGTATAGAACGAGCCAGATTGACAGGTGGCGATTCTGAAGTTCCGCAAATAGTGTCGCAGAAATGTGAGCGAAATAGAGATACGAGGCCAATAAGAAGAGTCTGGAATTCAAGTATCGTCAAAGTCTCGAATCGGTTGGTGATGGTGGCGAGGCTGATATTCATCCTCGCCTTTATTCTGTGAAGAGTTCTTCTTAGAATAACCTCCTCAATCGCATTTACGTGAACTCAGAAAGCATCAGAGATAAAGAAACAATTGATACACAAAAGCCATGAAATCATTTACGTTCTGTTATCCAATCCTTGATGTCATCGAAAGGTCTTCTCGACATGGCCGCTGGCTGGCCTCCGAAAATCACATGTGTGTATCTACAAATACACTTATCATTCGACTGTTATGATACGACAACTTACTTTTCCCCCGTATCCTGGTCGGTGTCGTAAATTTTTATGCTCTTATCATCGCTGGAACACCGTCGAAAAAGTTCCTCTGAACTTCCACATGAGGTGACTTCATCGTGTTTGCCGTGCAATATCTGAAACAAAAGTTCCAAGGTCACGGCATATTTCACCCACTTACCAAAACGGGCGTTTTAAGATCCTCCATATGGTCGCAAATCCAATCTTGAGCTGCAAGTACCGCGAGGGCTGTTCCCAGTCGAGGCTTGCTGGGGTACAGCAACTTGTTATTCTCACCTGTAGATCTCATCACCGAGGGAATCGACAGGGAGTTGCTTACGTGCAAAATCGGTAAAAGTCTTATCAACAAAACACTTGTCGAGAATGTCTTTTGTCGGAGTAATCGGCGCTTTGGGCATCCATGAACCGATCTTCCGGAAAGTTATCTCTGAGAAAAAACAGAGTCAGTTGGGGTAGAGGGCGCGAGCGTACCGATAATTTTCGGAGGTTTTATCGCCTCGTCCACCTTCACCATGGGACTGACTAGAATCGCTCCGTCGAAAATCTCGGGCCTGTGAAATACAAAATTGACCGAATTCGTGACACAAAAACTAACCTCCGCATGGCTGAGTGACAGACCAAACCTCCCCCTAAAGATACTCCCCAAGCGAACATAGGCAGCTTCGTCTTGACGGCATCTTCTAATTGCTTTTGGAAAGGCTTAGCGACCTGAACGGCAGACCGGACATACGCATCTACAAAACATCCTTCATTTTTTACAGGAGGTCATACACAGTAGTGTATGAAAAATAACACTAACGATGATAACAGCATAATAGTCATTTTACTATGTGAAACTCACAGCAAAGTATTCCCGATGAGAAGTTCGTACTATGAATGAAAGCATAGTGTAGACAATGGTATCAGTCCCTACCTTATCTATGAACTGTTCTGTTGACTGAATGTGATCTTCCCAAGAGGGAATGTAACTGGGAAAGTCACAATGCATGAAATTTATGACAAATGAAAGCAGCTTACCACCAGAGACCGTCACTCCTACCGCACGCCGGCTGATCAAAGAGAATAACAACTGCCTTGTTAGAGTGACGAAGGACTCTGAGGAAAATACAATCGATGCCTTCACGTTGGACCGGTCAACTTGGCGTGATTGTGCATGAGGAAATCGGAGTGATCAGCGTAACCGTGGTAGCCGATGAGGATGCAAGTTGGATCTACCCCCTTGGGCAAGTGATAGATACGATACCTGCCCACCAAGTAAGATACAGAATAGGTCCACCAGACAAGATCCGACCATAGCTCGATATCTTCGCCGTTCTGCTTCACTGTGACCATACCGGTTTCTTCCCAGCACCCCTTTTCGTCGTCATCGTTGAGGAGAGGCT